AAAAAAGGATGGGAAGGAGAAGAAAAAGGAAGGAGATGAGGAGTGGGGAGGAAGGAAGGAGAGGAGGAGGAAGAGGAAGGAGAGGAGGAGGAGGAAGAGGAAGGAGAGCAAGGAAGAGTAAGGAAAAAAAGGATGGAAAGAAGAAGAAAAATGGGAAGGAGATGAGTGGGAAGAAAGGAAGGAAGGAGAGGAGGAAGAGGAAGAGGAAGAGGAGGAGGAGGAAGAGGAAGAAGGAGAAAAGGAAGAGGAAAAAAAGAAGAAAAAAAAGGATGGGAAGGAGAAGAAAAAATGGAAGGGGATGAAGAGTGGGAAGGAAGGTCACAAGCCACTTGCTTTTTGTTTAATGTCCTCATTCCGGCTCTGCCGACTCGCTCAGAGGGAAGTTAATTCATAAACCCTATCAATATTAACTGCCCCAGGAGGAAGAGGAGGAGGAGGAGGGGGAGGAGAGGAAGGAGAAGAAGGGAAAGAGGAAGGAGAAAAGGAAGAGGAGGAAAAAAAGGGAAAAAAGGATGGGAAGGAGAAGAAAAAAGGGAAGGAGATGAGGAGTGGGAAGGAAGGAGAGGAGGAGGAAGAGGAAGGAGAGGAGGAGGAAGAGGACGGAGAATAAGAGGAAGGAGAAAAGGAAGAGGAAAAAAGAAGGAAAAAATATGGAAAGGAGAAGGAAAAATGGAAGGGGATGAAGAGTGGGAAGGAAGGAAGGAGAGGAGGAGGAAGAGGAAGAGGAAGGAGATGAGGAAGGAGAGGAAGGAGAGGAGGAGGAAGAGGAAGGAGAGGAGGAGGAAGAGGAAGGAGAGGAAGGAGAGAAGGAGGAAGAGGAAGCAGAGGAAGGAAGAGGAAAGAAAAAAAGGGAAAAAATGATGGGAAGGGGAATAAAAAATGGAAGGAGATGAAGAGTGGGAAGGAAGGAAGGAAGGAGAGGAGGAAGAGGAAGGAGAGGAAGGAGGAGGAAGGAGAGGAGGAGGAAGAAAGAAAAAAAAGGAAAAGAAGGATGGGAAGGAGAAGAAAAAATGGAAGGAGACAAAGGGCGGGAAGGAAGAAAAGGAAGGAGAAAAGACAGAGCAAAGAAAAGGGAATAAAAACAGAAACAAAGAAGAGGAGGAGGAGGAAGGAGAGGAGGAGGAAGAAAGAAAAAAAAGGAAAAGAAGGATGGGAAGGAGAAGAAAAAATGGAAGGAGACAAAGGGCGGGAAGGAAGAAAAGGAAGGAGAAAAGACAGAGCAAAGAAAAGGGAATAAAAACAGAAACAAAGAGGAGGAGGAAGAGGAAGGAGAGGAGGAGGAAGGAGAGGAAGGAGAAGAAGGGAAAGAGGAAGGAGAAAAGGAAGAGGAGGAAAAAAAGGGAAAAAAGGATGGGAAGGAGAAGAAAAAAGGGAAGGAGATGAAGAGTGGGAAGGAAGGAGAGGAGGAGGAAGAGGAAGGAGAGGAAGAGGAAGGAGAAGAAGAGGAAGGAGAGGAAGGAAGAGGAAGGAAAAAAGGGAAAAAAGGATGGGAAGGGAAATAAAAAATGGAAGGAGATGAGGAGTGGGAAGGAAGGAGAGGAGGAGGAAGAGGAAGGAGAAAAGGAAGAGGAAAAAAGGGAAAAAAGGATGAGAAGGAGAAGAAAAAAGGGAAGGAGATGAAGAGTGGGAAGGAAGGAGAGGAGGAGGAAGAGGAAGGAGAGGTGGAGGAAGAGGAAGGAGAGGAGAGGAAGAGGAAGGAGAGGAGAGGAAGGAGAGGAAGGAGAGGAGGAGGAAGAGGAAGGAGACGAAGTCAGCCCGGCCAGCCCAGCCCTGGCACCGCCTCCAAAGCCCCTCCCGGCGTTTGGCCTTCATCCCACCTTCTTCTTCTTCTTCTTCTTCTTCTCCTTGGCCACCTGGGCTGCCTTGTGCTGCCGCACCAGCTCGGTCAGGTTGGCCACGTACTCGTCGGTCTGCTGCAGCAGGTAGGCCAGGCGCTTGTCCTTCTTCTGGTCGATGAGCTTGCGGTAACCCTCCTCATCCTCGGCCTGCAAAAGAGCGCTAGCAGTTAGGGGAGCCTTCCTCAGCATCATCCTCATCCTCGGCCTGCAAAACAGCCCTGGGAGTTAGGGGAGCCTTCCTCAGCATCATCCTCAGCCTCAGCCTCAGCCCTCCTCATCCTCGGCCTGCAAAAGAGCCCTGGGAGTTATGGGAGCCTTCCTCAGCCTCAGCCTCGGCCTGCAAAACAGCTCTGGGTCATGGAGCCTTCCTCAGCCTCCATCCCTCCTCATCCTCGGCCTGCAAAAGAGCCCTGGCAGTTAGGGGAGCCTTCCTCATCCTCAGCCTCAGCCCTCCTCATCCTCGGCCTGCAAAAGAGCCCTGGGAGTTAGGGGAGCCTTCCTCAGCCTCATCCTCAGCCTCAGCCTCAGCCCTCCTCATCCTCGGCCTGCAAAAGAGCCCTGGGAGATGGAGCCTTCCTCAGCCTCCATCCCTCCTCATCCTCATCCTCAGCCTGCCCAGGGGTGAAAAACAGCTCAGGGAGTTATGGGAACCTTCCAATAAAAACAGTGACCACAACTGACCCCTCAGTGACCCCTGAGGGACACCACTG